CTTAGGTCCAGGGCGTACGAACGAGAATGCCTTGCAGACTGGATTGAGGGGAACCACACATACATTAGTCTTTCTAGTTGCGTATTTTTCATAGTCTTATATTTCAACAGTTTTACGACAAACTGACTTTTTTGACATGGAAATTATTTTTTAAGATTAACAAACATCATATGTGTAATTCATGGCACAATTCAAACGGGATCGAAAGATAATCTTTCTCTCTCCATTGACTTCAATACAGTACATCATTTTTCCGAAATAAGGTCCCATGAGTCGGAAGTAGATGGGCGGGACTTCACCTCTCTATATACAAAAAAGTAAAGCTACAAAGGAAAGGTAACTCCCTAACAACCCAAAGAACAGAAGTATTTTGATTCTTCAATCACCCTGTAAGAATTTAAGGTAACGATGATAAAGAAATATAATTTTGGTGGTAAATTATTTCTTCTATTTCTACCACTACATAATTTCCGTCATTTTAGGGCAATAAAGAAACCCTCCACAAATGTCTCACAGCACAGAGGCTCATTATTTACTGTGCCCCCCAGATCCCCACATTCAACAGCTAAAAGTATTTTCACAAAAAAAAGCTTAAATACCTTTCTCTTCGTCCAACATGCTGGTTTAGTAAGTGGATTAAGTGAAGCAATGACCTCTGACCGCTCTTCTCCCTACAGAGGCTACTACATCGACTACAGCCGAGACAAAAAGGAGATGAAGAGAAGAGAGTGGAAGAGACACGAGTTTCACTACGACAACGTCTGCTGGGCCCTCCTCACACTCTTCACTGTCTCAACTGGAGAGGGATGGCCTCAGTAAGTAGACTTTCCATTGGTACCTCAGTCATTCTGGCTACCCCAGATCAATGATTTCCTCCCATCTGTTTCTCCCTGCTAGGATCCTGCAGCACTCCACCGATGTGACAGAGGATAGCATGGGGCCGAGTCGGGGGAACCGCATGGAGATGTCTGTTTTCTACGTGGTTTACTTTGTGGTCTTCCCGTTCTTCTTCGTCAACATCTTTGTGGCTCTGATCATCATCACCTTCCAGGAGCAGGGGGATAAGATGATTCAGGAGTGCAGTCTGGAGAAGAACGAGGTGTGCCACAGTGAAATACATACACACCCACACGGTTACATTCACACGTTTTCATTCATGTCTGTTTTGTTCATTATCTGTCCATCAGAGGGCTTGCATAGACTTTGCCATCAGCGCCAAGCCGATGACCCGCTACATGCCGCAGAACAGACAAACCTTCCAGTACAGACTGTGGCACTTTGTCGCGTCGCCCTCCTTCGAGTACACCGTGCTCGTCATGATCGCGCTCAACACTGTGGTGCTCATGATGAAGGTAAAGCAGTACAGCTGGATTAATACTGGAAAATGATATAGTTAAAATGACCTTGTGTTCATCATATTTGCATATTAAAGTGCTCAAAAACTGTGAGTTAGAGATAAGAAAACCGATCAACATTTACTCCAAGTTCCAGTCTTGCTGTATACGAATTGAAAAGCTAGAGGTGTGAAGACTTCAACACTTACTTTCATAATAAAAGTCAAATTTGCTTGCTTGCCGTTTTATATGTGTTTAAGTGGAACTGCAACAATAGGAACTGTTCAGTTTGCAAAAAAACAAGAATTTATTACAGCTTTGTTCATTTTGTAATGATAAATAGTGACTTTAAAGACATTTCTTTTAAATATATATTTTCTTTTACTTGCTGATCCACATGAAAATACTTAAACATTGATCAAAACATGAACCTGTGCCCTTCTCTTTCAGCACCACTCGGCCCCGACAGCCTACGACATGGTCCTAAAGCACCTCAACACGGCCTTCACTGTCCTCTTCTCTTTGGAGTGTATACTCAAGATCTTGGCATTTGGTTTGGTGGTGAGAATGAACACAACAAGAGATGAATCAAAGACAGGAGCAGATCCCCTCTATCTATCTAGCTCCATTGATAAGGACTCTAAAGATCTTAGATCAAAGTAAAGGTGGGAGTGGGACAACACATGTTGTGTGTGTGATTGGACAAAAGTCCCTTTTTTGTAACATATTTGTATTGAGTTTTTTTTCTGCAAAGCTTTTGAAAACAATAAGAAAATAAAAAAACATTATGGAATCAATACATACAAGAAAGGTGTGAAGTATGTAATGAAAAAAATACAATCAAACATAATAATAATAATAATAATACCCAAGTCCCTTTTGATAATCATTTGCTGGGACAAAGTATTTTCTCTACAAAATGTGTAGCCTAAAATACTGTGTCTAATTCTCCGGGCTGCTACGATTTCTTTTTCTGCAGAACTACTTTCGAGATACTTGGAATATTTTCGATTTCATCACTGTTCTTGGCAGCATCAGTGAGATAATTGTGGATTTACAGGTAAGATACTGCCAAGACACTATTTGATTTTCACAATGTTCTGACCCGAAGGAAAAGGCACAAATATCCAGCATTCTCTCTTTCCAAGTATCCCTCATGTGTTACGATCCCTGCCTCCAGACACAACTTAAGTCATGTTGTGATGAATTTCGCCATCTGTGTTTCACATCCTGTCTCTCCCTTCTTTCTGCCACTCTCTCCCTCTCTCTTGTGTCACCCTCTCTCCTTCCACCCGTGCGTCAGTCGTTGAACACCATCAACATGAGTTTCTTGAAGCTATTCCGAGCAGCCAGGTTGATCAAGCTGCTGAGACAGGGTTACACCATCCGCATTCTGCTGTGGACCTTCGTACAGTCTTTCAAGGTCGGACTCTTTACAATCTCACCGACAGTAATGTTTTCAAGGCAACATCACTATTATTTGAGACAAGTTTTAATAAATGGTCATTTTTTCTTATTCCCCAACAGGCTCTTCCTTATGTCTGCCTTCTCATTGCGATGCTTTTCTTCATATACGCCATCATTGGAATGCAGGTATTCTTCACTAATATTTTCAGAAACAACACACGTGTAATTAAACGAAAAACATATATATATGTAAGGCTCTCAGTTGAGCACATAGTTATGTACAGGGCTTCAAGTACAATTCTAGGAAACAAATGCAGACTATATGACTGAATTTGCATATCATTCTTTCTTTATCATGTTATATTGAATTGTAGCTGTATTGTTGGCATTTCTGTAAGCTTGTTGGATGCATTCTTTTATTTGATGTTCTTTATATTATATGAAATTATTTGAACCACTTGTTTAAATAACTGATTACTTTGTTGATTTGGTACATTTGTTTATTTATGGACCCCAGGGAATATTACAACTGTTATGGCAGAAGCTTTTTGTGTATTCAATTGTATTGCATTGTACCGTAGTGCTTCCTGAATTATTGTTAAAATATTAGGCCAATCATTCCCCAAAAACCTGACCAAAATTGCCCTGTTCCTAGCAAAATACAAAACCAATGTTGATCCAATAAAATAATCAGAAGCTGTTTTCTGCAGGTGTTTGGAAACATCAAGCTGAACGATGAGAGTCACATCAATCAACACAACAATTTTAAGACCTTTTTCGGTGCGCTGATGCTGCTTTTCAGGTAGGATTTTCAAGAAAAACCTTTCAAGCCTCAAAGCTTTTCATTTCAACTTTCCTTAATGTGTTTGATTTCTAGAAAATGGCTTTTAATTTGATGTCAACTCTGTGTTTGTTTGTGTTTGAACCACCAGGAGTGCCACGGGGGAGTCCTGGCAGGAGATCATGCTTTCGTGTCTGTCGGGTCGGGAGTGTGAGCCGGACTCCTCCATCCCCCCCCTCATGACGTCTCCGGACCACGAGGGGGGGTGTGGGACGGACTTCGCTTACTGCTACTTCGTCTCATTCATCTTCTTCAGCTCATTTCTGGTCAGGGCTCAACTAAAGAAACACCCGGCTAATGTATTTGTCGATTTCTGTCTTTACACTTTCTTTATGTCCCTTTTTAAAGATGCTGAATCTGTTTGTGGCTGTGATCATGGATAACTTTGAGTACCTGACGCGAGACTCCTCTATCCTGGGTCCACATCACCTCGATGAGTTTGTTCGCATCTGGGGGGAGTACGATCGCCTGGCGTGGTGAGACTCGCTCTTATAGCTGCTGCATGTTCACTTCATCAGCATTCATGTCCTATCTTCATCCAGAAGAGGGCTGTCAACGTGTTTGAAACACATTCTTCACTGCAATGAGTTGTCAGTACAAGTTGATCTGATTCAAGTCTCTAAGAGCAATTTCACTGTGCTGAAAAAAGAACAAAATGTTCTTCAAATGTCACAAAAACTCGCTGTACCCTGTAATAAATCTGAGTGTTGTGCTACTTGTTATTAACCCCTCCACTTTGTGCTTCTGTTTCTTCGTGCCCCCCCCCTCACTTATCACTATGAAGCGGTCGTATCCACTACACTGCCATGTATGAGACGTTAATACACATGTCACCGCCCCTGGGCCTGGGAAAGAAATGTCCTGCTAAGATCGCCTACAAGGTACTGAAAATATTATTCATTTTGTACACACACACACACACACACGCACGCACGCACGCACGCACGCACACACACACACACACACACGGGCAAGATTAAATGAAAACTCAAATAAAAACTGTATGAGAAAAGAGCAGGTGGATTATAGTGAACATGCCAACAGACTTTGTTAAGTCAAGGGTAATAACATTGGAGATTCAGTATCATTAAAATAATTGAAAAAACAACTACTGATAATTGCCTGATTTACAGAAGTTGTTCAGCTGATACAACCATTTCAAATGTGGTACAACTATTAATACATTAAGGGAAATTTAAAATTAATACTTTTTCGTGGTATTTTTAACTGAAACACTTAAATGAATAATTGAATGAACGAATCTCCTTCCGTCTCCTTCTCTCCGTCCCTCATTGTCTGTCAGAGGTTGGTGTTGATGAACATGCCTGTGGACGAGGACATGAGCGTCCACTTCACCTCCACCCTGATGTCGCTCATCCGCACAGCTTTGGACATCAAAATAGCGAGAGGTCAGAGGCACTGACTGACATGTCCTTTCTGTGATACGGCATATAGGCGCCCAACTACGCATTGTTTGGATTTTTCTTTATTTGTGGATTATGTTTTTGATAATAGATACGTTATTGGCCTTAAAAGATGACCATAAATAGTTAAAATGTTCAAAATGATTTCAACAATCCAAAACTAAAAAGTATTACTTTTTGATTATTTAAAAGTGATGGTCGAGTTATATGTTTATTATTACAAGCCAATCCTTACAAGTGAGAAAGGTGTGAGTTAGTTAGTTAACAGCTTGTTATTTGTATCTGATATTTGATAGTAATGAGTAGTTGGTTGGTTAATAATTAGTAAAGATACATTCAGTTAGTTGGTGGTAGTTTATAAATTATTAATTAGTTATTTAACCGTGAGTAAGAATTGGATGATTTTCACATGTGATGTTTGGTTTCATACATGAAATTAAATATTTTATATGTGAAGAATTGCATTCCACGTGTGATTATTCATGAGTGCAACTGAATGTGGATCTTTGTCCCAGGCGGTGAGGACCGCATCGCTCTGGACAGTGAACTGCAGAAAGAGGTCAGCATCATTTGGCCTTATCTACCGCAGAAGAACCTGGACCTTCTGGTACCGATCAACAAAGGTCTGGCTCTCACTGTGGAGGGAACACTGAATGTGATGCTGCGAGCCCAGCAGTAACAGTTAATGTAGCGTGTCTGCCCTCACAGATACGGACATGACGGTGGGGAAGATCTACGCCTCCATGATGATAATGGACTACTTCAAACTGAACAAAGCCAAGAAGCTCAGGCAGCAACTCGAGGCTCAGGTCTGCTCTGCATGCGGTTTTCCAATTCCTGCTCTGTTTTAGTTATATACGTTCCAAGAAAATAGATAACTTAATACATGTTCAAAGAGACAGGAGAACATGTAAAAACGTTACCTGATCTTTCACATGGTCTGTTATAATGTCCTTTTTATTTACTACTTTCCAGTAAGATGGCACACATTTTAGGCATTATGTGATCAATTAGAAAAACAAAAAAACCTAGCAACAATAAGCTTTGTAACCTTTCATTTAAGGATCAACACATAGACACTAAAATGACAAATGGATCCATTGCTCACTTTTCTAGCAGTGGCCATAAACATAATGTGCAATATTACTCTTTACAAGTTTTTCAATATCTTTACCAATATCCATTCAATATAATGCAAAATACATTAAATAGGTTTATACTTACCATTTTTTTATGACATATGTCTTCTTCTAATTCTATCTTACTTTGGTGTAAGTGTTAATTTGTACACTTTAAACCTATTTCATATTTGATCTCTGACACAAGCATTTCCTTTGGGATTAAAAAATGTAATTTCTCACCAAACAGATCTACAGTATGTGCATAGAGGTAGACATGGAAATATGCAGTGTTGTCTTTGGAGGGCAGAGTACTCTATGCTCTTTGACCTTCTTAAATGTGGGCCTGAACAATGTAAACAGAAATGGCAAAGGAGCCCTCTGTGGTAACTTTATAAACTACATATTATTTTATTTGTTGTGTTTCTGTTTCCTCATTTTAGAAGAGTAGCCTAATCTTCAAGCGCCTGGATGCCTCCACGCTTCCTGAAGACATTCTGTCCAACACCCAGACGCTGCCGATAATGGCCCACAGCGCTGGCTCCGCTCTGTGAGTCCAAGCATTTTTGCCTTTGAGTTAGATTTTTACTTTGTTTGTATTTCTGTGTTTTTGTTTACTGTTTCTCTCCGTAACAAAACAGGACCAGAGGAGGCTTGTTGGCTCTGAGCCCCATCTCACCTGAGGAGCTGTTTCTGCAGCCCATCGGCTCTGACACTGATGTTAACCAACAGCAGGATCTGGTGAGGAAACAGAACATCATGAGATTACAGCCATTAACACCACAACCACGTCTTAGACCAGTGGTTCCATTAAAACAAAGCCTTGTGTACATGTCACAGGTTGCCTAAGTGTAGGGTTGTGCGAACAAACGTATCATCCTAAACAGCCCTATTACGATAGCTGAGCTTTTTTTAGCCTCCCAGTGCAACAGGGCTCTGTTTGGATTGATTCTTTTAAAGTGAAATGCTTACGGAGAAAAGAACATTTTAGCTTTTCTAAGCAGCTGTTGGTGAGTTATTGTTCTGACTGTGGTATGCTGTGTTTTAATCATGTTGCTCAACTTGTTGTGACTCTCTCTGCGTGCCTTGCAGAGCACGGTATGCCGCTCATGTCTTTTAGTCCAGAGGCCTGTACTACGAAGCCGGTTCAACCTAACCTGGATATGTTTGAGTTAGCCGGTTGGCCTAACCCAAAACATACGCGCTCTCGCTAAGCGGTCCTACGACGCTGGTTATCAAGTGGATCGCTCAAGCCAGCCGTGCCCTATCTAGTTAGGCGCGCGTTCACATGAAAGGGGTGGTATTTGGAGCATTCGACCAATCACAAAAATGGAGAAGCGTACTGACAGCGCAGCGTNTCACTTTCCAGTCTAGTATTCTGTATTTATTCACAGGAACCTTGGCATCAAATATTAATCTCAAGAGAAGGGAGAGATGCCAGTTATATGAATAGCTCATTTTCTCTGCAGTCCTGAGGGCAGGTACATAACAAATCCAGGACATAAAACATTGCTCATCTCTATCCCCCAAACATACAACAACATGTTAGACAGGCAAATACAAAGTGTGCAGCTGGGAAGGTGTTGCCAGTTCACCTTCTGGGGGAACCTTTCCTGGTTTTGGCATGTGTGTACTTGTACTGTTACTCACAGTAGATTTTGTGTGGTAATAATGGGAATGAGAGACCAGAGTCCCAAACCAAATAACTGAGCTCTACCGTAGAAGACGGCAGAGTCTATTAGATCGCGTCCTTTTCTCCTATAAAAAGACGACCTCCCACATCCGGGAGGGACCCTACACCACCACACACCAACACACAACACACCACACACCACCACACACCACACCAACAACACTCCACCACACACAAACACACACAACCACACACACACACACACCACCCAACCACACACACACACCACACACAACACACACACACACACACCATTTTATCTCAGCTCACATAACTAACTGTGGCACAGTTCATTTTACAAACCAATAGAAGTGTATAAGTATCTTAATATTAAAGTAGTGAGGCAGTTTGACTCACCCAAATCCAAGCCATGAATTTCCTGGACTTGAGTCTCGCGGATCGATTTCTGTTTGTCAGGAGACACGAAGGGATTTAACTGAAAAACGAAAAAAATTTCGCACACGTGCTTACATGCATTGCACTTATATTAGGTATGAAGTCTAATGAGTCTTACTGACGGACAGCATCCATTATCCCTGGGAACTCATTTCAAGGCTGTCTGTCAGTGTTTGTCGTGTTGTTTAAAGGGTGGGGTGTTATGTGGTTTTGCAAGTATTTTACTGTGTATGAGGGGGGTTTTGCCAATAAAAGGAGCTTCTTATTATCTGTGATGGTAACCGTTTTAATTCTAAATATTTCTTAAAAGTTGAATGGTAGGTTAAAATAGTATCTGTTCACCTGTCCAGATGTAGTTGTGTACGAGACCGTAGAGCAGTGAGGTGAGGATCTTTCAGCAGATTGTCCTTTTGTGTCGCCAAGAAGTTCCACAGGTATCTGACACACACCCAAAACTACAGGAGATACCACAAGTAATTATAAGGAGGATTGTTATTTCTGTTTAACATCACATGCTGTCAGACTTGGATATCATATTGTGTTTATAAGTACTTGAGATGTGGACTGCCTGAGCGAGGAAGAGATTTAGGCACAGAGGTGAGGGGTCTGTTTGAATTCTGCTTAGCAACATCCCCTATGGTCCACCCTGAGGGGAAAGCACAGGGCACACCTTTTCATTATTTGCTTACTGTTAAGCTTATGGCTTCTCTAACACAACTAAGAATACAAATAGTATACAGTGCAGGAAGCAGAACGTGCGTGTGTGTGTGTGTGGTTGTGTGTGTGTGTTGTGTGTGCTGTGTGTGTGTGGTGTGTGTGTGTGTGTGTGTGTGTGTGTGTGTGGCTGTTGTGTGTGTGTGTGTGGTCACATGGTTTGCATTCTTTTCACTCATGGTCGTTTTTTGATTTAAGCACCACACTCCCGTGCTGCAGGCTAACGATGTATGTGAAGCTAACGGTTTCTGCCAGGTTCAGTCCACCAGTGGGGCGGGGTCCATCAGAGGGATCGTTGTAACCATGCGGACACGTAGATGATGGGAGCCGACAGACGTACTGATTACCATCCGGATGGTTACACTGGAAAGGGAAAGGAGGGAATATCAACCAATGTGTTTTTTCGTTAGCAAAATTAATAAATCTTATATTTACCTACACAATGTGCAGTATGAAGGGAGAATTAAAATTAAGGAAAAGGCGTAATTTTTTGTTCTTCGCAGATTTCAACTTAATATTTTTAATACCCGCGGCTCCCTGCTATGTGAGCTTTGATTTACTCGGTGTTTTTTAAAATGTGCTATACAAATAAACTAACCTTGAACCTTGTAACATTTCAGAAATTGTTTTGTTGCTTCAGTTCTGTATTTAACTGCTGCTTTAAGTTTGATTACAGCATCAACAGTACTTACCACCTCTAGCTCGAGGTTGTAGTGTGCAGCATAGATGGCCACACTGGGTGCCGTTGGGAAGACTCCATACAGGAAAGCAAAGTTAGACAGACTGGTGTGATTGGAGCTGGTGCTGTTCACCCCAACATCCAGAATATCCACCATGTCTTTACACACCAGAGGCATCACCAGGCTGCAGAGAGACACACACAAACATTTAAAACTTCATCAAAGACCAGCTGTTCAGGCAGTCATAGTTATTGAGGGTAACTTAGGGGTGTATGGAAATATTGTGGCACACCGCTTGTGTGTAAAGCCGTATATGGTGGTGTCATTGCACTGGGCAGAAATACAGTATATTGAGCGGTTCCAGCGAACATTGCCTCGCTATACTGTACCTTAACACTTTGATTATTCGGTATACTGCAATTAAAGCCACCCCCACACTAAAATCACACATTAACCCAATCCCAGTCCTGCTTACAGTTTGGCTGTGATGAGGAGAATCAAGGCGACTCCGGTGTCTCTGGTGAGTTTCCTAAGCTGGCCGACCTGCGAGAGACAAAGAGAAATTACTAACTGATGCTGAAATGGAAATGATGCAGATTATAACATTTACATGGGTGAAAGGCAGGGACACTTTCATCCCACAGGTAATAAGACTATTAAACACCTACACTTGAAACAACATCATAACATTAATCCGGCTGCTACTTAGGAATTATTTATCTAATATATCATTCCAATCACTTGCACTAATTCACTTTTTTTCCTTTTGTATTTACTAATTACTTGCACTATTTTTTTTTGTTTATCTGTTTAATTGTGTTGCACTGTTGGAGGAGCCTGTGACCTAATATTTTCATCGTCATAACTATACTGTAGCTACTGTATGTTCGTATGACTAATAAAAGCCTTGAAACCTTGAAGCCTTGAAAGACAAACAGAAATACAGCATCATACTGTAGGTAGGTTCTGCACACTTTACTCCAGAGGCCTGTACGACGAAGCCGGTTCAACCTAACCTGGATCTGTTTGAGTTACCCGGCTTACCTAATCCAAAACAAACGCGCTCTCGCTAAGCGGTCCTACGACGCTGGTTATCAACTCAGTAACTCAAGCCAGCTTTGCCCTATCAGTTATGTGCGTGTTCACATGAAAGGGGCGGGTTTAGCAACATGTGACCAATCACAAACATGGAGAAGCGTACTGACAGTGCAGCGTCATACTTCCTGAATGAAAAGGGAACTATAATATTAGTCAAATATGAAGAAGTTAAACTTTAAACATCCATGACTTAAACACTTTATCCAGGATCAAAGCCACATAGCTGCACCTGCAAGGTGAATACAGCTGGTAACAGAACAAGTGTTTGAATGCGTACATTAACAGGTTTATGATATCACTGCCCCGTCTAAGACACGATCTGACTTTAATTACATTTGACTCGAGTGTTTCCTCAACTTAATGTGTTGCTTAAAATAATACTTCTGCATACAGTATGTGACACTGTGAGTGTTGCACGGCCAGATACGGCTCAGCTGACTCAGATAAGGAGATATATGATACATTATGATGTGATATGCCGCGGACTGTACTTAATGTTACTCTGATCCGGTTACTTATGTTGTGGCAGATATTTAAGTAAGCTTACTTAACGCTAATGTTATAATAGTCAGATTGCTCTGAAGATGGGAGGTGATATTCTATTAATGTTCACGTTCACATAGTCAGTTGATTTTTGCCGGCCGTCTTTCCTGCAACGGCAGCTTTTCTGTATTTCCTCTATCCTGTAATATGACTTGATCGCTTTAAACTCCGCACACTGAGCTCTGATTGGTCAGCAGGCAGTGCTTTCACTGAGTTGATCTCTTAGCCTGCAACCTAACCTGCTCCGGAGCAGGTTAGCCGCACAGCATAAGTTACCATGGAGATCTAGCCCGCTAAAAAGAGAACCAGCTTCGTAGGACCGGAAAACCAGAGTTTTCCCTGAAGTTAGCCGGCTAAGCGAAAATCCTGCTTCGTAGTATACCCCCCAGGTTGAATTGAAGCGAATATTTGTAATGTTCAGAGGTTGTTGTATTTAATATTCATGAGAATATTTGTCATTGTTCAAATGATAATAAACATTGGCATAAAGCATATTTGTCCACTCATATGTTGATAAGAGTATTAAAAACTTGAAAAATATTCCTCTAAGGTACATTTAGAACAGAAGAAAAATTTNTCTCTTAGCCTGCAACCTAACCTTCTCCGGAGCAGGTTAGCCGCACAGCATAAGTTACCATGGAGATCTAGCCCGCTAAAAAGAGAACCAGCGTCGTAGAACCGGAAAACCAGAGTTTTCCCTGAAGTTAGCCCGCTAAGCGAAAATCCTGCTTCGTTGTACAGGCCTCTGGAGAGGTTGGATTAGTAAAGGCAGATAGTCCAACCTGTTGCTGTCTTGCTGTGTCTATGCTGTCTGGTTTTATTGGCCTGCTAGATGAATGATATGAAATGGTTTGGAAATACGCACATGTTAGTGTTTGTTCTTGCAGAGGAATGTGTTTCCCTCTTGAGACAGATGTTGTCTGGCTTTGTTTGTGTAGCTATGAAGACCTGAACGTGCATGACTGAATGTACTTCCCAACTGGAATATGGCCTCCATCTTTCCCTGTCAACTGTTTTGTTGATTGTCTTTTCTCGCTCGCCTCCTTGAAGTCACTTTTCCTGTTGCTAGTTGTTAATCTCTCCGTTTTTGGCTGGAATAGCTTCTGATTGGATGGTGATAAGATAGATGACCCTCAGTGATGAAAAGGCTTGTCTGCCCGCCTCTCACCTGAACTACACCTCCGTATTTAGAGGCGGTCCTAGCAGGGACGGGCCTCATTGGTGTCTCTCCTTGCCCTCCTCTCTTGTTTCTATACTCACTTAGGTGGGCGAGTGCAGTAGGGGGATTGAAGCCCCACAGGAGCTTCCCATAGGGAGGGGTCTGTGTGTGCGGGCCTCTTCCATGCCCCGTCTGGCTGTAGAGTTGCAGGTACAAACATCTTCCATGACATGACCTCGCTGCTGGATCTTTGAGGACGTCAGTGGCTGCATGGGCTCTGATGCCAAAGTGTTCTGTTCTTTATTATGCCAAGAGTTATTAAACCACTAGAGTCTGGGCTTGTCTTTCGCTACTTCTGGAGTCTGATAAAGGTTCAAAGAATTGTTAAGAACTGGGTTCGATCGTTACCATTAGCTTGCTCATCTCCTGAATTGAGATAAATGAACCTTCTAGTCTATTTGTATGCACTGTTTTTATGCACTGATTCAAGCATGTTTGTTTTATGCAATGGTCCGCTTGTTTGTGTATTAAATAATCAGAATGTTATTAAAGCATGTTTTCTTTGTGTACGTTTCTTTTTGCTTGTTTTTACATACAAACAGACCGAGGTTGCAGGTGGCTCCATGAAGCGTTCAGTGTCCACTGTTGCCGATCAGCGGGTGAACGGTCTTTGGGAGGAAGAGCAAAGTCCTGCCAGACTTTATCGACCTCGACACAAGAGCTACAAAGCTGCTGGTTAGTCCTGAACACCTGTATGCATGAAGTGTCTTTTCTCCCACCGTTTGCAATCATGAATTACTGGTGAAAACATGCAGGAGAGATCCAATGCAGAACCAATAGCAACCACTTTAACCGGCACTGTTTGTATTGTAGTTTCTCGGTCAGAGCACTGGCATCAGGGCGACAGGGAGCGCGGCCGGTCTAAGGAGCGCTGTCACCTCCTGTCGGATGCGTCTCGTGGAAACTCTGAGGAAAGAAGATTGCAGGCCTCACGGTCCTCTAGTGGAGAGAGAGCGCACCCCAAAGATAAACAGGTGAGTCAGAACTAACTGAGTCGGGGACTAAAGTGAGCCAAATGAAAAAGTAATTACTAAATTGCACCCTTGTGTTTTCTTTAATCGGTTATCAGTTACAGAAATTAAATGTTAAAAAAATGTTGAGCAAATATAACGCAAAACAATAATAACTAATTGAAAGATGGATAGGAAAAATCACACACAAAATTGGTGTGTTTTGGTTTAGCATTTGAGGAAATGTAAAGCTTGGATTAAGTAATGTCCAGAAAGGGACGCATCATTTAAAACAAATGAAGTAGAACCTGAGTTTTAATAGCTTTCTTTCAAAGTAATTAATGACATCTCTTTACCATAAAGTGTCAAATGTAACTTTTGGTTCAGTTTAGGAGAATTGGCCTGTGTGCTAACACAATTATAAATGTTGCAATCTTGTAATTACCTCCTTTTAACCTCTATCCTCCTGAGATGAAAAGTATAACGATCAAACAGCCCTTTACATTTGGACATGTTTAAGTCATCAAATGTCCCGCACATTTACCTTAAAGACATTGTTTGTTTTTTTCCGTTATTCTCCTCTCCAGGGCAACAGCTCGGACAGTCCGGTGCCCTCCACCTCAGAGTCCAGCACCCCCACCGGCCGACGCCCCGCAGCAAAGAGCTCTCGCCCGCACATCTCCTACTCCCCGCTGCACTCCTCTGTCGGGAAGGACGGGGATGAGCAGCGCAGCCCAGTGGCCAAGAGGCGGGGCAAAGCCAAACGGGGCACCCAAGAGAGGGTCCTAGACGACAGGCGAGGCGAAGAAGAACAAGACCCGTCCCCACTTCGCCGCTACCCCTCGGAGCCGTTCCTGGCCTCCCAGGAGGGCGAGCACAGCCCGGACCCCTCCGGCCCCATGGAGACGTTGACCTTCGAGGCGGCCATGGCCTGCAGCCTGGGACGCTCAAACACCGTCAGCTCGGGCCATCCCCGCTTGCGGACCGGCTGGCAGGTCCCCAACGGACACTTTCGAAAGCGTTTGGCACAAACAACCTCTGCTGCAGGCTGCGACCCTCTCAGTGACACGGAGGAGGACGACAGGTGCTAGGGACGGGAGGCTCAGCATGAGGGAGGAGGGGGAGACTGTACGACAGAGAGAAGGTTAAAGTGACTCTTTTTGCAACAGAGCCTCAAGGCCGTGAACCCAAAACGAAAAGAACAATACTTCCTGAAACTGTAGTTTCCAATTCACACAGAACACTGACAATAGATAAGATATCATTCCTGACTTGTACTTGATGATAGAGATTAATAATACATCTGAAAATGATGCAGAAAAATAATGAATGGATCAAATTAAATCATTTGTGTTGATAGGTCTTTTCATTTCTGAAGATGTTTCTAAATGATTCAGTGTTGCTCTTAAGAGTATTTAACTGTGGGGTGTGTGAATATGTAACTACATTTTCTTATAAATAATCCTTTTGTAAATACATTGTGATCATTAAGCCATTGCCATTTATAAGACGAGTTCAATACAACAAGCCATGACCAAGAGACGATCTGATATTTTACCAGACAATGTGGATACTAATAAGTAACACTCAATAATGCTGGGTTTTTTTACAGTATGAATGTGCATTGGGAGAAAACTGCCTGATTCCCCTCGTCATTTAACTTTTTGGTATTGAATAAGTTGTGAGATATGAATACAGTTATAGAATAAAATAGAAAAGATGCTTATTTGTAATTTTACCCTGTGTTTATGTTAAACCATGCCTCCGACAAAACTCAAACCTTTAAAATGAACCTTCAAAACTGTTTTTTGGTATTTTAACAGGTTTACTCCCTTTAAATGAGACTTTCCCTACATTTATGTATTTAATACTTTTGGGGTATCTGGGTATATTTAACATGAACTGATATGAAAACAAAATGATCATTCATCTTTTCTCACCTTTTTCTTCAGTGAATATTGTATGAACCATTGCAGACGATGACTGTAGAAACACCGTAGACAGACCATGCCACATTTGCTTCACAAAATAACCTTATGCTCTTACTTATTAATAATGTACAGAGAAAATATGCTGTTTGTAACATTAAGAGAAGAAACAATAAACTATCAGTTGATGAGCTTTTAAGGTAAAGGAATCTTTGGAAATGTTCACTAAGGTTTGTGTTTTTGTTTCAGTTGCCTGACAAAGGCAAACAATCTGTGAAACTCCTGTAACCAAAAACATGGGCAATTGTATTATAAGTTCCTGGAATGCAAATACTTTGTGGGTGTTTATGTGTACAATAGTTGTATATACAAATAAAGGTGTACACTGTTATTGGATGTAATTCATTATTCATATTCTTCTTTTAAAAACCTTGAAATGGTCTCTCGTTGGTTAAAATACACACATAGGTTTAGAAAAATGCTCAATTTTGGTTCATATTTCTCGGCTGTGATACAATAAAGTACTAGCAAAATAACTTTACACAACAATGGATTACGACTGGTTTTATGTCATAACATTAATTAGGAGTAAATATAATTTTTTGTGAGATACAAAATTATAAAAATGTAAATAGAGAAAAATAAATAAATGATGGGGTGTGGGGTAGGGAGAACTCGCAGGAGCTAATGCAAAACCATAGCTCTCGCACACATCTGATATCTCATGGAAATCACGAGGCGGACAGTATGATGGCACTGGAGCCATACGCCGGTTTGGTAGCAGCCACGTTAAGCGCAGGTCGACTTAATAATCATAAGCACTAATATTCTCCACCGCCTTGTCCCTTGCAGGCAGTGTTTTACCAGACTACACACCCCCTAATTGGAAATCAGCCTTGTATCTCTATTTTACCTGTATCACAGAAAATAGATTTTCCATAATGAATATTCCCCAAAATCAAGCTTATTCATTAATTACCAAGCTGTAGCAATTATTTTCGAAACTATTTTTTTGCAAAAGCATTTATGCCTTTAAAAAAATGTTTTATTAGTAATGTAGTTTCATAACCAGTCGGGAAGTTAGATGTGTGAAGAAAAATAATAGGTTCAACTATGAATTAAGCAAAAAAATTACATTGGTTTCAAATGTATCCGTGTTCAGCAAAAAAAAAAACACCTTACGGTTTTATTTGTATTTTTTATGAACGTAAACAAATACATGAGATGGATTTTTATAATTAAAAGGGGCGGGACTTGGCTCCTTCGTATATCGACGTCAAATAAATCATCCAATCACTGCACAGAATCACACCCTTACGTCATATCCAACGGACTGATACATGTCCTCGGCTGAAGAAAGAGCTAGCAAGGAAGAAAACTGTTTAATGTTACTAACGAAATTAAAAGTCGGAAATGTCGCTACAGTCCAAAACTCATGCCGCTTAGCGTTACAACCGTATCTACTGTTGAACTAGATATTTTATAGAAAACGTTATTCTTACAAGGCTATGAGCGATACTTGTCGAGGAAGTCGTCCAGCTGGCTAGCTAAAAAGTAGCTAGCTGTCGTTCTTTGTTATGTTTTTTAGTTAAAGGTCCGTGTAAACATGAAGATTAACTAGTTCACTTTAACATTTAAGGTTCATATAGGAGGTTTATACTCATGTACGTAGTATATTTTCCAGTGTTTAGTTGACCTGGAATTAAATGTTTTCTGGAATATTAGACAAAACTACTATTAGCCACCGAGAGCAACTTTAGCAACACAGATCTGATTTTTAACGTCGGGACGGGACTGGAGACACGAAGATATGGGCAACTGTCTCAAGTCTCCGACATCAGACGACATTTCTCTGCTTCATGAATCCCAGTCGGACAGGGCGAGCTTCGGCGACGGGACAGACCCGGACCTGGAGCCACCTCCGCCGTACCAGGTGAACCACTGCTAACGCTTTACAGGGTATCAAGTTAACAAAAGGAAAGTTCGGGGGACACTTAAAACAAATAGATTCAAGAATAATGTTATTAGTTAGTCATTAGCATACATGTTTGTATGCAGCAGTACATGTTTGTGAAAATAGTCCCTTGGCCCGTGTTTCAGGTCTCTGGCCTTTTTTCTACCTGGAATCCATTATAGTCGGTAAACACCTGAGTAAACAAACACTTGTCATCATATCGACCTGTCAAGAATGTCAACATTAGACAGCTGCTTTACTTGGCAGTGTATCCCTGCACATAGCCTCACATATCAGCGATGCATGCACACAGTGAGCTGATGCAGGAGGGTGGGTTGATTCTGTGTAATTGTTGTGGTTTCTTTTGTCTTTACCAGGAGCAGGCTCACATGCCCATGTACCACCCCACGCCCAGCCAGGCCCGTCTGGCCACCCAGCTGACGGAGGAGGAGCAGATCCGCATCGCTCAGCGCATCGGCCTCATCCAGCACCTCCCTAAGGGGGTCTATGACGGGGGGCAGGACGGCTCGGAGAAAAAGATTAGAGAGTGAGCATTTTGTATTTTTGTGACGTTTGCATAGAGGGGTGGCTGTAGGGTATTAGAGCGGACACTAAAGCAATGAAGTTGTATAATTTATATCTAAGCAAATCTCAAGTACATTAGCGATTTGGGACTGGTCGGTTAATCTCATTTTTTTTTTTCAGTTTCATTATATTTTACAGTTCAGTAAATAACATGTTGTCCTAAGTCAATGAGCAATCGAGGTTAACAACTGAACTTAATATTGACAAAAATAATCACACTTGTGATTTCTGCCATTATAGGAAAGCTCAATGAATACATTTATCTTAACATGACATTTAACAACACTTTCTTCTCAGTGTAAGGAATAGCGGTTTTCTCTTCTGTTATATATTCTTAAATTGTATATCCTTAAAGGAAATATAAATGGTATCGATAATATTTGTCCTTTTTTATATAGGCCATACAAATATTGCAATGCATGCTAAAAGACGGCAGTTAAGGTATATACAGATATAACTAGAATCTAATCATTTGTTATCTGTGGTCACAATATCAGCTTTACACTGGTGCGTATTAAAGCTCTTTTATTTCATGTGTTTTTTTCAGATGCGTAATCTGTATGCTGGACTTTGTATACGGGGACCCCATCCGGTTCCTGCCGTGCATGCACATCTACCACATGGACTGTATAGACGACTGGCTGATGAGGTCCTTCACCTGCCCCTCCTGCATGGAGCCTGTGGATGCTGCCCTGCTCTCCACCTATGAGACCGCCTGATTTTTTTTCTTCACGCCTCCAGTCCCAAACTAAGATCAAACACGACCCCTTCAGCCCCAAATACACACACACACACTCTTAAACCCAACAACTGCCCTTTTATAGAGTGAGATGAGCTATAAAAATATGTCTTGGCTGTTTTCTTGCACTTTGAAATATTCAAAAATTACTCACCTAATGTTGGCCTTCCATGCCCCTAGGTCTACAAAATAAGCTGGTCTTAAACATCAGTTACACAAGTGTGTGTTTGTGTGTGTCTGACAGTAAGCACCTTGGGTGTGTGTGTGTCAGCTGTTTGATGACTTTGCATTTCCACTTGAGCCGGTCTCAGTGGCATCTCCCCGTGTGTTCCCAGTTCACCTTCATTCTCCGTGAGTAGACATTCAAATCGATATTTTACATTAACAGTTTTTTTTAACAACATGCTAAAAAAGTGTTGCTAGAAATCTGTTTGGGAAAATGTTTTCCGTGGCAACAGTAAGACTGAACATGCTCTCACATTAAAATGGCCCTTTGGAGGTAAGGGAATACATAGCTCAAGTTTACACTGTTGGTGTTAGATATCAAAAGAAATCACTCTCCAGTTTGTCAGGAGTACAAAAGAATTATGCACACCCTTAATAGAAATCACCCAAAGTTTATAAGTACACAATGATCACCTACAGGAGATCTGCGCTAAATGTCTTTTGGCTACTCCAAGTGGCTGAACCTTAAAGAAGATGTGTTTAAGGCAAAATGTTGTTGTGTAATGTGAATGTTTCCCCAGGCGGTGTGTAAAGAAGCTGGCAGCCAATGTAAAGGGCTCATTTGTGCATGGGCAGGTGGATCAGTCAGTCAAAAATTAGAAATGCTTGCACACACTTTTCATCTGATCCAGAGATTTGCACTTTACTTATAGGACAGTATCTAAACAATATATTAATATATGTACCTTATAACCTTGCACTATCGATACTTCATTCCTTTGTTTCCTGAGAGGCACAAGTTATAATAACTGAAAAGGTTTTCAAAGCTGTCAGTAGTCACTTATCACATTGAAGTAAACCTGAATTTCATGAAATCTGTGATTTGCTAGTGTGAGCCTCCGCTTGGTTCTGCTTGACTTTTGATTTGTGTGTGTTTTTGTGTCAAAGTGAAGGGGCAGAGGCTTTCTCCAGTTTAAAGGACAAGTTCGACATTTGGGGAAATATGCACATCCACTTAGATATTAAGAGTTAAATGAGTAGGTCATTCTGTTTATTAACCAATCAGCTGGTGCCAGGAGGGGATTAGTCTAGCAATAAAGACTGTAAGCAGGGTGAAACTGCAGGCATGATAGTCACAAACACACCTAGCACCTCCGAAACTCAGTCCTTTGTGGTTTTGGGAGGAGTTTGACAACAGTTGATTGACAACTATTAAAATCATTCAACTCTCTCTTTACCTATTTAACTACAGATTTAAGAAACATGAGCTAACATGTTGATTAACTATTTAACTGCTGGTAGGCTAACTCTTTAACTTTGGACAGAAGTGGTTTCCCACCTCTTCCAGTCTTTATGCTAAGCTAAACTAAATGCCTCCCCAGTATCATTGTGCTCATCTCCTGGCAACAGATCGGTTAAGCATATTTCCCAACATGTCGTACTGTTTCTTTAAGAAAGAAAATTGGGTTCTTGATGAGTAGACGTTAGCACAGTCATTTAACATTATTTTTTTTTACATGGTTATCTCCATTTACTGTAACAGTAGTAACAATCATTTATTTTTGATTTGTGGCATTGTTTGTTGAAAGTGTGGCTGTCTTTTTTTATGTTACCTGTGTTTTATCTTTTTTTTATGTTTGTGTAAAATCCACTTTGCATTTAGGTTAGTAAGTATTTCACTTTTACACTGGTGTAAGCCTGACGGCGAGCCTCTGTCCCAAATTAATTTCAGTGTGTGAGACAATTCTTTTAAGGTGTGATAGTTACAACTGATGTATCAAGTTTTCCATTTAGCTTTCCTTTGCTGTGTTTTTCATTTTAAGTTTATTCTGAGAATTAATATTTCCTGTAATCTTGTTTTTCTTTTCTTTTGGGAGGCTAAAAGGCCATCATGTTAAAAAATAAAGAGAGAAAAAATATGTGTTGGTGTTTTTTTATTACGAACATGCAGCCAGGCAAAGTGGACTTAATGCAAATGGGCAGGTTGTACCAACATGAGAGATTGCAAAATATTACTTTGAGCCCTTCATTAATGTAATCCTAAAATCTGGCAGTGAGTTTAAAATGTGTCACACATAATCAGGGTTAGCTGTTGCCCAGGACATATTAGTGATGTTTGATGCTTTGTTTCCAGAGCTTGCATCAGCTTCGGGGGCGACATGTGAGTGTTGGTATGTGAATAATTAACATTAGAGTGGAATTATAATTAGAAAAACTGAAGAGAAACCCTACATTTAATCAAACCTGCTTTATTGAATAACATGAATCTTGCATACAATAAAACGTGGGTTTGTGAAATTACAACGTACAAACATTCATTGTTGTGCTCTTAAGATGAACAATGGATTGCAACATGTCCTTCCTTTCTCAAGCCTAAGCAGCGAAACACTTAATCAGCTTTGCGCTGCTGTAAGACCTGCGTCAGAATCAGACAACTTTGAGCAACACTAAACAGACGGATATGAAAAGGAATGTTAGATTTCAAGTGTTTATTGATCCACGATATATCAAGAAAATTCTTGATTTTTCAAAAGAACAAGCATCTTTAATGATAATTAAGTTGTTTTAACCTACAGATTATATTTTGATGGCGAGTCCAAATTCAGAAGCTCAAGAGTTGGCAGGAATTAAGTATTATATTTAAGTATTAAACCAATAAATGTAATTTTTTTCAAAGGGCTGACTCTAATTCGAAGCACAGTATTTATTTCTCTATTTACACCGGGCAACCTAGTAAATAGCTGGTACATAACAGAGTAATACAAAACAACAACATGTTTTGATCACACCAAATGTATTTCTTCCAACCATTAAATATTCATGTGACACAGCATTTGAACAAATCCATATATGTTTTATTTAACCAATAATGACAAAGCAGGTTTAGAAATTCTATTACATCCAGCAACTAGAAATAAAATGTCACTTCACAAACTATTTTTTTATATAACATCCCACATCAGCTGCAAATAAACACATGGAAGCGTTAGGTCATTATTTATCCTGTAATACTGGGTATTCAACTGAGTTGATAACGCTGTAATGGCTGACTGCAGTAGATCAAAGCAGCATTATGGTTTGTACATCCCGTGGAAGGTGACGGGCATGGTGCACTCCACCTCTGCCCTGGCAATCTCAGACAGATCCTTGGCGTTGAGGATCAGGAGGTACCCTGGTCTCTGGGCGCCGGGGGCAACCACGATGGTCAGCAGCACACCTGAGAACACAGCACCACGTTATCATAAAACAATCTCCCTCATAGTGAGAGTAGGATTAAATATTTTTACATTGACGTACCATCATCCTCATCCACTCCATCAGGGGTCTGAATAAACAGGGGCTCTGAGGGGTAGGAGTCGGGTTCCTGCCATACCCAGGTCTCCTTGGTCCTCACATTCAACTTGACGATCTACAATAACAACAAAATCAGGTGATGAACTAGCTTGTTTTACAAACCCTAAATGACTTCCAATTGTTGGGATTGTTGACGTACCCTGTCTGGTATGAAGTGGTTGAGACCCAGGGCGTAGGCGTATGAGTAATTCTTCCCTGCGTACTTCCCATAGTTGATCTGAGGGAACTCAAAGGCTACACAAAAACAACATGAAATAGTTAATTAATGAATATTTTTGTGTCCAATGTGAATGATTGGGTACATTTGTTGGATGTGTGTTCACCTTGGCGAGGCCCGGAGAACAGCACCTCCGGCTCCAGCCAGATGGTGCCATCAGCGTGCATGGTGGCTGTGGCGGTGGTGTACGGCAGGCTGACAAGGTTCTTCCCCTGCTCCTCCTACATCAGGTCCGCAATGAGATTACAACAAATCACATGTGTGGACAAGAGTCACTAACTTGAGTCAGACTTAAGTCAGACTCAGGTCACACATGTGATGCCTAATGTTAGTCCAGTCCAAAGATTTAAAGGTGTGTTATTTAAAAAGCGAGCCATAGATCAATTAATTTCTCTTCGTTTCCTGGTACATTAATACTATTCATTCCCAGGAAGTCTCTCTTTTTATTCCCCAGATACATTTGTTTGAACCAATCTGACGGCATTCAATGAAATTGCAGGAGAGAACCATAAAGAACTAAAATTATGTTACGTTATGTGCCAGTTGGAAAAACAATATCAAAGATAACTTTGCAGTGGTCAACAAAAAACATCATAGCAGTCCGAAAAAAACGTGGCCCAAAAATGTTATTACATTTTGTAAAGATCGCATTATTACTGGTTTGGGTCTCAACGTTTGGGACTTTTGGATTGACTTGCGACTTGAAATATTTGAAACATACTTGTGACTTGCTAAACATTGACTTTGTCCCACATCCGACAGATAACATGAACATAGGTGTTCATCAGAAGAGCTAAAAAAGTGACTCACCTTGTGGATGTCCAGGGGAATAACATATCTGCGGACCTCCGGCTGGGGCGCCATCATGGCCGCCTTCTTCACCTCTTCCCAGTTGGCTCTCAGGTTGGCCAACCAGAGGTAGTTGTAAACAAACTCAAAACTGCACGAATAAGGCAACAATGAACAACATTAGTTATGTATCAAACTAATCAGGTACAGGAAGGATGAAATAGAAGTCCAACATTTACCCTTTCCATCCACAGACGTCAGTAACAATGAAGCCCTGATCCTCATAGGTGTTGATGTGATGAAACATGCCAATGGGAGCCCCTTTGAACTTGTGGTCAATGTACTCTCCTGGGTTTTTCTTGGCAATGTGAAACAGGGTCTATAAAGCACACATCAACATAGATATCATTAGATTATCGAGGCAGGGGCAGTGATGATATCAATGGTAAATATCGATCTACTGCCAGTTCTTACTCCTTGGCTCTCGTTGGACTCGAAGCAGTCCATGTAGTTGGAGCCTCGGATGCTCCAAGCGCTCAGGAATTTCAGCAGGTTGATTTTCACCGGGGTCTCCACAAAGACAAAGTAGTTCTCTGACATGCCAAAGCTGAAATTGTTGAGGAAATTAAATCAAAATTTGAACTTGACAAAGAAATACATAATTGAGAGAAATCCTGAGTTTGACGCACCTGTGCACATAGGAGGGCTTGAACCTCTCGGCACTTGGGAACTGCACCACCACCTTGGACTTCGTAATGGGATCAGACTTATCTGAGGACAAAAAAATGCTACTTTGAATCTTTTAAGTTGAGCAAGCTTGCAGTGACTCACCTTGAGGGGTCATACTAATTTTGTTGAACATGAATTGCCAATCAGCAGCCTAAGACAAACTAAGTTTATGTAGAGGTCACTGAAGTTAACTAGTTATGTTTGTTAAGAAGTTATTTTTGAAGATGCCAGCACTGATCCAAACCTTTCTGTGTGGGCGGAGTCATGACAATGTTGTAGGCCAACGTTGCCCCTTTTCCCATGCAGTTTCCAATGTTGTACACTGTTCCATCCTGCTCAATGTGAGGGTGGGCTGTCACTCCGTTAATGTTGACATAGTTGCACATATCAACCTACAGAAAAAATTAATTTCAAAATGCTTAAACATGAAGAGGGGTTTTACGGTTTGGAAGTATTTTTACATCTCATATTACAGGATATGTTTCTATTGATATACCTTCTTCAGCGTCTCCAAGGAATCAGTGTCTACTTTAGTGAGGTAGTTGGTTTCTGTTACAGCATAGTAATCCTCACCGATAGGGTAAACATTCACCAGGCAGTTGTCTGTCACCTCAACACCCTTGAAGTAAGAGAAGAACCTGAAGAGAAAACACATTATAAAAGGAATTGGTAAATAAAAAAATACTACACAACTAACACTATGGCAAATAAAAGACAAAGAAATGTAGCATCAATATGACAGATACGAACACCCAGCTGGTATCCAGGTGATGACTTCTTGTGTGTTATGTGCAACCCACCTGGAGAAAATGTTTTTGCAGGGATCAGGGTATGCAAAGGTGCCGAACTCAGTGATCACCACACGTTTCTCTGTGATGGCTCTCACATAGGCATCGGTTCTGACAAACCTAAAGGGAGAAAAATCAAAACAGCATTTAAAAAAAAGACCTGATGCGCACATATGCTCAAGTTTCCGCAGGTTTATTTAGCGACGTGGCATTAATATAAATGAGTTGATTGTCTGAAGTATTTTCCTGAATATCTTACTTTCTGAAGTAGGTGACCTGACCGTTCTTGAAGTCAAATTTGTGCATGAGGGCCTGGCCATCAAAGAGGTGGTAGAAGGGTTCATCTCCAACCTCAAAAAGCCCAGGTCCCAAACGGAGCAGACTTCCCTTCAGAAATGGAGGAATCCTACCTGTAATACCGGAAAAATGAACACAAATCAGAGGTTGTTTTTAAATGTATAGAGATGCAAAAAATGCTTTCTCTACTATTAGAAGAAATAACAACAAGTGCATCAGTATAGGAATGACAAATAATAACTTGCCCGCAGTCTATTCCTGTCTTAAAGATTGAAGATACAAACAAACCTGTGACTGTTGCTGGAAGAGGCTCAGCTAGCTCCTCGCATGTCTCAAAAATCTTCTTGTAGCCACCAGCTGGGTGTTCAAATCTGTCATCAAACAGTGAAGGCATCAACCAACATTGCAGAAAGAAACTAAAAATAATAACATTTCCAACAAATTCAATCTGTGATAAAGTCATATTTCTAACAGGTCATGCAGTTCAACATGCAGACATTAAAGTCACCATTTTTTTTAAAGAAATTGTACATAGAATAGCTTATTTAACATTATCAACATTTGCCACTCATGTAATAGCACTTTTCAACTTAAAGCTGAACTGATAAACACATTATAATAGGGTTCAAGATAACATTTAAAGTTGCAATACTTCTTCAGAAACTCACCTGCTGACCATGACTCCCTCTTGTTGTGGCACCACACAAAGCAGAATGAAGGTCACTTCTCTACGACTCTGGCCTCCCTGCAGATTTGTGGTATTTATTCGTCTTGTCCCCCTCAGAGTCACTGAAAATCTGCGCTGTAAACCTTCCTACTGGCCAATCATGTTGCACCGTGAACAAGAATCCCTTTGTGCCAATATCCTCTGGGTGGCTCAATGGTCACCCCTCTGAAACCGGATTTATAACAAACATATTGATTGCAAAGACCTTTCAAATGTGTTGCAATTGTGCATGTGATTTTTTTCTTCAATTGTTGTGCTTTTAACATATTGCTATGCTGACTCATACTATTTGCAGTATATTTTAAATAAGGCTTTTGATGCCTTGTTTGGTAGGGCTACACCTTTGGTAGGGCTACACCATGGAGGAAGTAAACAGAAGTGAATATGGATGTTAAAGTCAGTTATTAAGAATGTGTGTGTCTGATTTTATCCAAGGCGACTTACAAGTGTATTAAACCGTGCAACATTTGGATCATGAGTCAATTGGCCAAAAACGTTTCTCGAAGAGGATTTATTGTAAAACAACAATAACAGTAAACCTCAACAGCTATTATTAGGCCACCTCGTACAATGTAAATGGGAAACAGGATGCTAGGATGCAATATGGACTTTGTGTTCTTTGGTCAGATCTCAAAATGCCATGACTTGCTTCTCTCAGTCTCAGTGCAACTTTAATCCAGATGTAGGGATTAAGCCCAGTGTGGCATGAGGACAAACTCTGCATTGTTCCTCCTGGGAAAGAACACCATTAGCAGAAAGAGTTTCACCAGAAGCAGATTGCAGAAGCCGGGGTTGTGATGTTGCCCCCATAGCTAATTTCTGAATCTTTCAATTACATCACATGTTCTTTATCAATGAATAAAGGTTGCTCACTATTCAATAAGGTTATTTTTGCGATTTAACAGTTTCAGGTCTGCAGATCCATCACAAAGACAAAGATAACAAACGTCAACCTCTGTTGAAAACTGTGTGATGGGGTTGAAAGCTCCACAAAGAGTTAGTGAGCAAATAAAAGGTTCATCTAAAATATGTTGTGCTCACAACATTAGGCATGTGATTTAAAAAAATCTAAAGGCAGATTTTCTTTTCGCAATTCTAGCGCTTGAGTGCAATCTCTAGAAAAAGTTCATAATTTGACCTGCAATTTCCAAGTTAAGATTTAACTTTAAGAAGAGTGAGGATTTAAGTACAGGATTTTAACTGGCTTAAATGTGAGGAATGTGTACACACTGTGTGACCCTATTTCTACTTTTTGACTATACATTTTCACGTCGGTTTTGTTTTAATTGTTACTATTATTTTCGTTAAATATTTTATATAGGGCAATATATTCTAATCAGGAAGGATTGTTATTTGTATTATGTTTTAAATGTATAAATCGACAACAAATATTTCCCCAAAAAAATAACTAATTGTAGTTAATGTTTAAACAGAAAGATGTATCCTACACAGATATAATAATGAGAATCGATGACATTGTGTCTGGTAAAATATTCACAATATGTACCTACAGAGGTTCTAAGGAAATAAATGATAAATAAAAAATGTAACTATAGCAAAAACATAGATGCTTTATTTTCCCAACAATACTTAGTGTTCCTATGTGTATGTCATCAGTTAAAGGAAAGGGAGACCTCTGTTGGTTGAGTGAAGATCAAAAAATGTCCAAGATAGTACACATATACTTTTTACTACATCGTTTATTTGTGGTGTGCCTTGGTGTGCAAGACTGATGTAACAAGTAAGAGGTAGTTAATTGACAAACCTTATAACCAGTCATCAGAGGTTTAAGGAGTACTCAGATATTTTACTTAAGTATACTACAGTGTACAAATACTCTGTTATAAGTAAAGGTCCTGCAAGTATTGGCATCAAAATATCCTTCAAGTACAAAAAGTAAAAGTACTTATTTTCCAGTAGGCCTATGGCATATCATATTTTTAAAAGTATTATAATTAGGCTGTTAATGCATCAATGTAAATGTTGCACAAATTTGGTAAAGGTGGGGATTATTTAGATTACTCTACAGTATACTGCTGGGAAGCTTAACCGTCCTATAATAAAACGTAATGATTAATTAGTTGATTATATTATATTATAAATCCATACCTTCAAAGTCGCTTGTTACTACATTTGTAAAATAAATGTAGTGGAGTAAAAAAAGTAAACAATTAAAGTAAGTATAAAGTAGCATAACATGAAAATACTCAAGTGAAGTACAAATACCTCAAAATTGTTCTTAAGTAAAGCACTTGAGTAAATGTACTTAGTTACTTTACACCACGGACAGTCGTGTTTTCATGAAAGATCAACATTGTTTTTATAGCAAAGGAGTTCAACTATACGCATGCGCAGTGCGTTCTGGAAATACAATATGGCGCCGATATGTTAGTGTGTAGACGTAACTGCTAGCTAACACCTAGCCCGCAAATTCGTACAAACACGCTGTTTTAACAACCAGCGATTAACCTTGGTTTTTATTTAAGTTCATTCGATAACTGCAGTGCTGTTGTTCGAACGGTTTTAATCGAAAAACAATGAATTACACTACGAAGGTGGTCCAGGTGACCAATGTGTCGCCTAGCACCACATCGGAGCAGATGAGAACACTGTTCGGTTTCCTGGGAACCATCGAAGAACTGAAGCTGTTTCCTCCAGAGTGAGTTCACTGTCTGCTGCTTTCCTTTATTTATGATGGAGTCACAGATAGGATGCATGGTTTTTAAACTGGTTGGCTTTGTGTGAGCCTGAAACGTAACTAGGCCTAACATGCTAACCGCACACCTAATAACGCTATAGCTACCTAACAACTGATGCTACAGTTATATCCATCATTAATTGACTTGTTGGTTAAAGCACTCATGTTCTCCAACGTTTTTCTTTACCATTATGAAGACATTTGATGACATTTTGAAAATGAGATTTGGTTGGTCATACTCAAAGGGGGAAAAAGTACTCTGATCTTATACTAAAGTAAAAATAAACATACCAAAGTGTAGGAATACACTGTTCCAAGTAAAAGTCCTGCATTCTAAAATGTTACATGAGTGAAAGTATTAAAATATACTTAAGTACCAAATCTAAGTACCTATTATTCAAAATGGCCATTTTAGCAATAATATATATTGTATCACTGGAGTATAATGTGTGATGCATTCATGTATGATTTGAATTGTGCAGCTGTTAAAGGAGGAGAAAACATATATAACTTTTTATACTGCCAGATATCTCAGTCCATAATAGTAGATTAAAGTGTGTTAGTGGATTTAATCAGAGGTGGAAGAAGTACTCAGATCTTGTACTTCAGTAGAAGTTGTAATGTGCAGGAATACTCTGTTACAAGTAAAAGTCCTGCAATCAAAATGTTACTCAAGTAGAAGAAGACAAGTATTGGCTTCATACTATAACCAAAGTAACAAAAGTAAAAGTACTCATTCTGCAGAATGGCCTATTTCAGAATCAGTTATTATATGTTTTGATTATAATTATTGATGCATTCAAGTGTTCTCAAAGCTGGTATATTGTTTAAAAAATCTGGCCTATAAGTGTATTTTTTTCATGTAATCTTAACGTAATTTCATAACATCTTGCGTATAATACGTGTCCCAGATTCTAATACTAGAGACCAGTCAGAGAACCAAAAGTTGTAGAAACCCTGATGTGAAAGGACATTTTGTTGTCAAAGGAGAGGACAACAAAGATGTTGTTTGCAACTTTACTCGTCTAATGTAGTATTTGTGACTTCCTCGACAGTGACTCTCAGATGCCTGTGACATCGCGGGTGTGCTTTGTGAAGTTCGTGGAGCCAGAGTCTGTTGGAGTGTCCCAACACCTGACTAACACCGTGTTTGTGGACAGAGCGTTGATTGTGGTCCCGTTTGCCGAAGGTTTGTCATTTAATTATTTCCACGTACGAGAGGTCCTTGTTGATTGAATGGCATGTAAAGTCAACATTTAAAAGAGTAAAACATTTGTAATCTTTCTAATATGTGAACAATGGTATGTTTTAAATGAGCTTTTTAAAGATAATGATACTGGTAATGCCATTCCCTCCCATTAAGAAGTCCTTAAAGCAGACTTCTATTGTCAGATCTTTGGTATACTGTTGTCGCACATCCCATTGCTGTTTTACCACCACAATGCAATTATTTTGATAAACTGGACTTTATTTGGGTAAATGCATATCAAGCGGTATGTCTCTGCCTAAAATAATAATTTGCTCTATATTTCGAAAGCACAGTATACCAAATTCTGCTTCACAGACATTTACAGATTAGGAGTTGAACATTCCCAAGCTGTGGCGGCCGCAGTGAAGTTATCTTAACCATATGCATTTTATTTTCTCCCCCATATTGGACTATCCTCTGTTAAACTTCTCTCTGTTATTTGTGTGTGTGTATGTGTGTGTGTGTGATTTTTGTAGTGAAGAAGGCAAAGGCAGCCCCCTCGTGGATGGCTGAAAGTGGTCCTCTGCCTGCCAACAGGGGATTGTAAACATTTGCAAAGGCCAGCAAGCATTCAAGTCCCACCCCGGCCTTTTCGTGTCCTCTATTCTTTCTCTGCCTTCTCCTTCTCTTTCCTTCAGTCTAATTAACCTTTTCTAGGTGGTTTTGTTTAGAGTGTAAAGGTCAGATATCGGGGACATAGCCTGAAACGGTGCTCGTTTTGCAACACTTCTTATGAATGCTGCTTAGCCATTTGAGAGCTAAAGCAATGCTCCGTAACAGATACGGGTGGCAATATTCCTCAACCTCAATGCCACCAGTTTGCACAGCAGCTGTTAATACTCGATAGCACACCAGATGTTCATTAATCCAACAGTGAAAACAGTCCCCAAGAAAAGCACATTTAATCCTGTATGTGAACGATTTACAAGAAAATGTGTCGGCTTCTTAAGATTTCAGAGGTAACACATGGGATTATGACTGAGAGCAGAAAGTATTGTTGCAATAACCAACATTTTTATATTGTCTGTCTTATCCTTTTGAAAATGTTAATTCATTCTTGAAAGAAAAATCTTTTAATGGCAGTTATTTTTGTTTTAGTGATAAAGGCCTATACATAAACAATGGCTGATAATAATGACCTTTGCAGAAACCACATTACCCAAGCAGCTGGCTCTGCACACAGCTACCAATATGTTCGCAGTAACACAAGTCAATGATTGGTTATCTTATATAATAGTCATACTTCATCTCATCATCATTTGTCTAAGTTGCCGAGCCGACATGACATTATGTTGGTAAATATTCTCTTTAACAGTGGTCTTCTTTTGTTGTTGTGTTTTACAGTTCTTTTTCCTGGCTCAGCCAGTCCTGTATACCAGGCCCTGCTGAAAATACCATCCAAGTTTTGTCTCCTGCAGCAATTTCTCTCTTCAGTGTGCTCTTTTTTTTACATGTTGTCATTGTTGTGTGTCTGTATTTAGGTCATGTGTTTTTGTCAAAATACTATTTTTGGGTGTGGATTTACTGTGAGATGACAATGAGGTATTGATTTTGGCCATTTTAAAAATACAATCAGTGGCATTTTACAAATAAAGATGATCAAATTACCTTTTAATTGGACTGTGTTGGCACACATAAATCAAACCAGTCATGCTGTGATCTTATTGGTTGATTGATGCAGTGGCAGGTAAGGATACTAGATGAATGATTTGCAGCAGACACGCTAGCCACACTATATCTGCTATTGTCATTTAGGTCATACTAATATATGCTGTGACATTTGTGTTTTTGGTAAGTAAACACTGATAGTTTGTATAGTGTTCTTGCCAAATCCCTAAAATTCTCTCTGTGTGTATCTCGATTTTTCTCTGTGTGCTTTTAGTAGCGAAGCCGCCAGCGTGAGTCGCTTGTTTCAGTAAACGTCTCAATGAAAATTGAGGGCTCACCCAACTGGAGAAGCAGCTGTGCTTGCTAACCTTTGGTTCATGACTTAAAAAACACGTTCAGGTGATATATTCTTGGCAGTGTTCATTGGAGTAGTGTGATATATTCCAGCAATAGTTATGTCACTTCAATGATTATGTTGAATATAGGGAACTCTTCTCTGATCTGTAAGGTAACCATGTTGTTGAACCTTATTTGAGCAATTGCAGTGTGAAGACTTTTTCTGTTTGTCTTTTCCAAAGTGTCTTCTCTGTAGTTGATGTTTGTGAATATGTCGTTCTCTACTAATGCCTGTTTTTATCTTCCTGTAGGATCTATTCCAGATGAGGCTAAAGCTTTGTCTCTGTTGGCGCCAGCAAACGCTATTGCAGGAATCCTGCCAGGAGGAGGACTTCTCCCGCTGCCCAATCCCATGTCCAATCCAGCTGTAAGACTAGATAATCTACTACTTCAAGGTCACCTGTTATGCAAAAAACACTCTTTCATGTCTTTTATACATATAAATATATATATGTCCTCCTGTGTGTTAAGAGATTGGGAAAGTTTCAGGAAAAAAAGATAGTCTCTCTTTTTGTCCTGATCAATTAATATAAAAAGCTGTCTGAAAATTAGCTGATCACATTTTTGGCCACTTTGTGATTCACCATTTTTCTTTGGGTTGTGCTACCACTGGCCAAAGTAACACCCACCCTCGTTAACACCTGAATCTCCTCCTTTTTTAAACTAAACATCTCTCAGAGGGGCGTGGGGAGTGGCAGCTTATTTTGTATTTAAAGCTACAGACGGGTACTTTTGAGACAGAAGGGTTTATGGCATTGTTATTGTATTTTATATTTCTGTATTTTTTCTATATAAACAATCTCACCTCAAAGTCTGTTTGGTAACGGGCTGCAGAGGATATTACATGTTCTTCATCAGCAGACAGATTATTAAGTTCTTCAGTATTTAGTTAAAAAACATTTGGAAGTTTGTGGGAGATCTCTTTAGTGTGATGGACACTTGTACGATGTCAATATCTAAACAACAGGCTGCCATAGCAGACGTTACTGAACATGCTTGTATTTGTTTAATTTCCAGATGGGAGGAAACCCTTTCGGTGTTCCGAACATGGATGCGATGGCTGCATTTGGATTCCCAGGACACAATATGAACCCACAGGTGAGCGGCTTTGTTGAATGACATTGACTTGGAAGTTAAATATGAAGTATCTGTCATAGTCCAACCCTTCTTCCTGTTGTCTTCTTTAGGCCGCTGATCAGCTGCTAAAGTTCATGACCGATCCAAAGTAAGTCATACAAAATGTGTCTTCTGGAAATGGTGGCTAAAGGCAGTTTCCAATCACAAATGAAAGAATTAGACATGCTGGTAGTAATGACAAGTCAACTAATTCATATTTTCCCTTCAGACTGAATCCTTTGGCTGCAGGCTTAAACCTGAGTGCGAGCCTGAAGGCGGACGCGTCTAATAAAGAGATGGAGGAAGCCATGAAGAGAGTGAGAGAGGCCCAGTCGCTCATTTCTGCTGCTATTGAACCAGGAAGTGAGTGCACAGACGTTTAGCTTTACAGTCAATGTAGGAGCCATATGTTAAAATTAGGGCTTTCAAACGATTAACATTTTTAATCAGATTAATCACAGTTTAAAAATGAATTAATCATGATTAATCACCATTCGAACTATGTCCAAAATATGCCATTTCTTTATGTATATTGTTGTGGGAATGGAAAGATAAATGAAAGAAGGCGGATATATCCATTTAACATACAGTATGTTTATTATAACATTGTTCTGTGTGTCAAAATGAAAGACAGCCCACACACCTATCAATCATCAAACCGTGGGGTCTTATTTCATTACGTGTTGATTTCTATCAACACGTAATGTTGTATCGATGTATAGAGATGTAGTACCGCAAAAGTATTCTCCGTCAGGACTTCCTGCAACAACACCACGCCGTTATCTTGATTCTGATTGGCCAGAAGACATTATCAAAGATGTTCCATTGAGAAGACGATCACTATGTGACAAAAGTTTTCAAAACCGTTTCTAGTCTTCAGTATTTCTAGACAAGTGGCTACTGAAATCAATCTTACTAACTGAACTGCTGTCTGTGTGATTTACTCGGCGCGAGTTGGCGGACTTTATTTTGCTCACTTTAACATCACTTTTCAAGGTGGGGCTAAGCCATTTCTCGGTATGGCTTTAGCCCACCCCAGCGCTGCCACTGGTGGGATGTATGGGGCGGGCCATTCTGCACATGCGTTCAATGCGTTACATATTTTTAACGCAATTAATTCAAAAAATTAATTACCGCCGTTAACGCGATAATTTTGACAGCATTAGTTAAAATGTATAGTTTGATATATTTGAATATTATAATCCTTTCTTGTTAGTGCTATTATATCATTTAACTGAACCAGCCGTGTGAAATTGACGGCATTGACGACCGCAGCTGTTTGTGATTACGAGACGTTATAGCCGACGGCAGCTGGTGTGTGTGTGTGTGTGTGTGTGTGTGTGTGTGTGTGTGTGTGTGTGTGTGTGTGTGTGTGTGTGTGTGTGTGTGTGTGTGTGTGTGTGAGAAGGAGAAGGAGAAGGAAGCAAAGAGCAACATAGTTTTTGACCTGAGAAAATATGAGTTTGTATTTGATACCTTTTGTTGATACTTCAACAAAAGGTATCAAATACAAACTCATATTTTCTCAGGTCAAAAACTATGTTGCTCTTTGCTTCCTTCTCCTTCTCCTTCTCACACACACACACACACNAATGTCGTCTTAGTGTTATTGCATGATGTTAAAATTGGTTGGCCATGAATTTAGTGATGGATTGTAAACATTTGAAATGTAGCGTTTACGTGTTTCTCAGTTACAATGTTGTTGTTCAAGTACCTCTTTATATAGGCTTTTTTTCCATAACAAATAGTTTTTGCGCTGATCAGGGGGTACTTGGCTGAATCTTTTTTTAAAGGGGGCACATTATTGAAAAAAGTTTGAGAACCACTGCTCTAGAGGATACAGGATGTTACACTGAGTGGATCAGGACGCAGGATTCACACAGGATGTGGTTTTGTGTTTTCCTCTAGGGGTTACAGGCAGTGCTGTAAAATATTACTGGGACATCACGTAGTAAATAGCTTTATCTCCTCTGCTGAATAAACCCTAATGGAGCTTGCAATAAAACCCAACCCTTTACAATAGCTAATGGTTTTTTAATGTGATTTGTTTCCGTCTCATAAGCATTCTGTGCTTTGTAATGTTACAAATATCTTGTACTCACTTCTCTTAAAATGTTCCGTTTAATGTCATTAATCACCAAAACAGACCATTGCTATGATGGCAGAGAAATTACAATTTTTGTTTTGGTAGCGGATTACTTTTTATTTATAGTCTTAAAATGATGCATTTTACAGACTGTAGCCTCTAGCTTTTCAGTCTGAGCGCCGCTAGTTTTCTTTTAACCATTTCTTTAGAGAATAGTTTACAACTGAGATGTAGAGTCAGTGTAATTGAATACATGTTGTGATTGAAGGCCTCTGTCAAAGCTGACATATCAGGATACAAATTATTATACCAGTAGTTTCCAACCTGGGGAACACAAGATACATCTGAGGGATAGCTGAATTATTGACTTGGCAATACACCTTACTAAGAGGGAAACAGTTTAAAGAAGTTTCAAGAGCATGTTAGCTTTATTATGGTTAGCATGTAGAGGTTAGCATTTAGCTCAAAGCCTCACTGTGCGTGGTTATTGCTTTTGTTATTGTAAAACAACAAAACAAAAATCAAATAAAACATAACTGTTTGCACCATTGTTTCTCCCTAAATGGGGAGGCGTGTGGCGCAGTGGAATAGTGCGTTGGTGTTCGGGTCAGGGGAGCACAGGTTCAAACCCCACTGCAGTCAGCATGCCGTTTCACACACTTCACCCCAAATTGCTCCTGTGGACATTGCCCACAGTATTGAGTATGTAAGTCTCTTTGGATAAAAAGCGTCGAACATGTAATGTAATAGAATAGAATAGAATTGGGGAGGGATGAAACCCTCTTTTAATGGTCACACATGCAGAGCACACAGCACACACAGTGAAATGTGGCCTCTGCATTTAACCCATCCTAGTACCAGGAGTCTAGCACTAGGAGCAGCTAGTGTACAGCGCCCGGGGAAAAAGAAGAAGATTCAACTTATTGTCATTAAGTAGTACAGGTATGTAACGAAAAGGTTTTTCTCTGCATTTGACCCATCCTAGTGTTAGGAGCAGTGGGCTGCCGTTATGTACGGCGCCCGGGGAGCAGTGTAGGGAACGGTGCCTTGCTCAGAGACACCTCGGTAGCACTTGGTCTTTTAAATGGCAACAATTCAAGATACTGTTATATCAAACTCACTTTCCTCTTCCTCTAGGTTATTAAACGTGTTGGAGGTCATCGCCCCGTTCAAGCACTTCAACAAACTCCGGGAGTTCGTTCAGATGAAACTTCCTCCTGGGTTTCCAGTTAAACTAGGTGGGTGTTCAGACATACCGCTGCTCTCCTGTGAGAGGGCGAGCTTGTCCAAAAACACAGAATAACATTTCCTTCTTGTGTTTTCCCCCTCGCAGACATCCCCGTCTTCCCCACCATCACAGCAACCGTCACCTTTCAGGAATTCCGCTATGACAAATTTGAAGCCTCTACTTTCGTCATCCCGTCTGAATACAAAGAAGATCCCAGTCGCTTCCCCGACCTCTGACCTGTCAACACGTCTGACACAAACAGGAAATGACCAGCGGGTTAATATGTGCGAGACAAAAAAAGAGGGAATCGTGTCATGTTTTAATCTTATATATTGTATCCGTTTAAAAAAAAAAGAAAGAAAAAAAAGGTAACTGGTGTTATTGATCAGTTATTGTTCATTTTTGCTGAAGGATCCAAAGTGAATTGATGCAAACGGATGTAACTCGAGCGCCATCTTACAAATAGATGCTTATTGGCAGGTTTTTTTTGTGAAATGAGTGATAGCTTTCGTTGTATTAGCTGTTCACCACCTGAGCACCTCAATGCGCTGCTCCATGCTGCTGTAACTTCCTGTGAAACTGTCAGAAGGCAGTCTGGACTCCTCACCACCACTGTTTTAATATCTGCTCTTATATCCTCATCTCTTATAAGACTTATTACTGAAATGTCATTCTTTCAAAACTGCACTGACACTGTAAATAATTCACTTCTCATCTGTAATTCATAAGATCACAGATATAGCTATATCCTCAAACTGAGCTTAATATTCATTTATAAATGATGTACTATATATAAATGTATAAACTCAAAAGTAACACTGTGTAGCAATATATTTCCACAAATGTTTTTAACCATCTGGGGGAAGGTTTAGCATAACAACACATTAACAGTTTCGATATCCAATCCTTTTCCCCACTGCAGGAAGCAAGGTCCTGTGCGTTCAGGTTAGCTCATGTTACCTCTCGGCTGTCTCCATGTTTGTCGTGAAAGAAATCTGTGCTCGGTGTGAGTGGATCATTGTTCTGTAGCAACGGTTGTTGTGTGTCTATTTGTGTGTGGGAGATGGGTTATCAGGTAAACTGTTCTTAGTTTAATACTGCTCTGATATTAAGTGTATTTAAGGCATGCAATGGCTGTGTTGGCCTACTGGATCACATGCATCTTTAAGCTATATTCTCAGAGCGATTTATTGGTACCAAGATTAAGGAAAACTTGGAACACTTTGTAACAACTTTTAAGTTCTTACAAAACCTCATTGATGGTAGCGTTCATTTCTTTCTCCTTTTAAATCCAATGAGATTAAACTAAACTGTGAAGTTGATATTGCTGGTGAAACCTGAACATGTCCAGATGGGAAATAATATGATCCATTCAGTTGTTTCTGGCTTCAGCTTATATGTACTGCAACCATACCTACTTCACGTCCCTTTAAATAAAGCACCAGCATCACGTTTCAACCGACTTTGTGCAAGTACAATAAAAACACAGTATTTCATGAAATATTGGTCGACCGTCACTTATTTGACTACACTTTATATGACTTTAAGCATGTATTGGGAGAGCTGGTGATTGAGGTACTTTTACTCAATTATTTTGAGGTAAAAACGGTTTGGTTCAGGCCAGCGGCTAATTTATTTTTTTCCTTTGTCTGGCAATCAATCCCTCTGAATGTTCAAGTGAATAATGCTTACAGTCAGTAAATCAAAAATATAGGATCATTGGAAGCTGGAAATGTTAAATGTTTAAATAATAATGGGTCATAAATATAGTAAAATAGTTTTTTTTTGTTTTGTTTTTTTTTAAAATAGTATTTTAACGTGTCGGCTCTTCGTACTTATAAACAAAGTCTTGTTTTTTTCCAAATAGGCTTTATTATAAAAGAAATCCTTGATAAAACAATCGACACTTTCAAATAAGAAACAAACGTATTAACTGTTTCGAGAAGTTGAGGGAAGAGGCCTGAACAACACACAACACAAACATAATGTAAAAGATACAATATGTGTAAAAAGGTGACAAGCTCGAGAAAAGCAAAGCAAACCTACTTCCAGTTTAAACAGACTATGATTTTTTTCCGGAGGCAAAAGCATGAGGGTACTTTAAAGCTATGGGACATATGGCCAACTCTTCAAAATGTCAATACAGCGACTCTTCTGTGCGAAAAATCATTACATTTGACGCTCACTTCACATTTTAGATCGACCCCAGTGGGGAATAAAGTCGTAACATGTTTACGACCAAAACAGAAAGGAGGGACAAAGATGGACGACCTAATCACTGACATCCATGTCCTCTTCGTGGTGGTCGTCAGCTCCGTTTACTTTGGCCTGCCGCGCGGTGCCGTTACCTTCGACAGACTGAGGAGACAAAGCAGAGTCGTCAGAATCTTTCCTGTCCGCTCGCTCCTTCCCGCTGTCATAGCCTTGCTCTTCCTCATCATAATCCCTGGTGATCTGTGAAAGGAAGCCAATGGATGGAACATTTTAAAGCATAGACAGCCCCCGGGTTTACACCAGAACAACAAAGCTCGTGGCGAGGTAAAGGCACCGTGCTGACCTTGACATCTCCTTTCTCTCCGTCAGATTTCCTCTCCCGGTCTCGCTCTTTGTCTTTGCTCTTCTTCTTCTTGCTGGTGGAGCGTTCGCGCTCTTTATCAATCTTTCGCTCCCTTTCCTTCTCCTTTTTCTTTTCCTTCTTGTGTCTGGAGGGAGGAGAGGAAACGTCAGGTGTGTCATAATATGGGTTGGATCTAAGTACAGTTGGTTTGAATCCAATACATCAGCGGTTTTCAAAGTGTGAGGCGCGCCTCCCCTGGGGGGCGCCAGAGAGCTTCAGGGGAGGCGCAGCGTGAGACACAAAAGAACGAGAAAAAGACGAGTAAAGTGACACTTGCCCACCTCGCCAAAAAGGCTGTAAAAGTGCTCATTCCCTTCACCTACCTGTGTGAGTGCAGGTTTTCCGCATTGACTTTGATCAAAAGCAAGTACCGGTAAAGGCTGCAGCCAGAGGATGATCTGCGTTTATTCCTGTGTGCATCAAAGACGCAGACTCATTGTTCCCACTAAAGTAGGGGTGAGTGTAACGGGGTAACGTTGTAACGTTCAGTGTGTTGCCGGGAGCATATAAGGATTTATCCACCATGTTGAAAATGTTAAAAAAAATATGTCTTGAGAACACGGCGTGCGGAAATATACGGGTAGTGCTGCAGCTAGATGTGCCTGTCCTCTGTAAGAAGGTGTCGGCGACTGACATGCAAGGAAGAACGGCTGTCCACAGGCTGTTCCAACTTTAACAACTGTATGAACTTCCAGGGTAGTGAATTGAACATGCAATTGTAATTGGGTGTGTGGTATATTTTCATGCACGGACACGCATGTTCCACAACACACAAACTGAACAACACTCAATCTTCCGATCGCTACCAGTGTCCTTGCGATCTTGTTATAATAACAAGTGCACGTTACTGTTGCAATATGGTTGAGACCATTCGGGCTTATTCTAGAGGGGTGCAAGGAATAGTCCAAGTAGTGGGGGAGTTTTATACAATATGTTTAAAACATAAAAATAAAAAGGTTTAAAAAAGTTATTGTTTAATGTTTTAAGGAGGTGACGCTACTCAGCCAATCAAATCGGTGCAGTCAGCACGATAGATTCAAACACACACACACAGAGACGAGACAAGAGGAGAGAAACAGTCGGAGTAATTTCAAATGGCGGAAGGTAGACAGCGAAAACAGAGCATTTAATTACATTTTCTCTTTACTGGACCTCTTTGAAATGCAATTGAATACCCCTGCTTATAGCCAACAACAATAAATAATATAATTATAATAATAATAATAATAAACAGCTAATTAATAAGTTGGGAGGCGGCGCGGCTGTTTTAGGGTCTCTGAGTGAGGCTTCACTACCACATTTGAAAACCCTGCGATATTTTCCTTGCACAGTGTTTGACTTTTGTTTTCGTTTGGTTAACATAAAGTACTCCTTGGTATGAAGTAGGGCTGAACAATTTAATCGATTTGACAATGATGCGTTACTCAAATGTCAAAGCGCTGCGAATTTTTTTTAACAATACTTTTTTTTTTTTCTTGTGTGTCAGTCATCCACACCAATCAGAAGTGCTCTGTGCTCCACATCTACCAGGCCATTGTGTAATCCAATCTGAGTGGGCCTACATGATAGAAGGTGAAGTAGGACGGATTGTATCCAAATCACTGCCAAGTATTTTTGAAAGTGCCTGCCCTTTTCCAAATGCTTCCAAATGGAGCTTTCCTAGATGATTTGTTGTGAACAAACCATCTGATTCCCCAGGTTTAGTAATGCTCCATCACATGTTTCTTTTACTAGGGTGACTCTTTAACTGAGCGTTGACTTTTAACAAGGCAAGCAACGGGGACGGATTTGTCATGTTACAGTTTAGTTCTTGTCACTGTAGCTCGTCCCGCGCTCGCACGGGAGGCATGTTGGATACGGCCTTCCTAGGCCGGTAGTTATGGCCGCATTTTACATAAACCATACGTTGGGTTGTTAAAATCAAATATCGCAAATCGCAATAGGCAAATAGTTTGTCGGAAAATCGACAATTCGATTTAGTTTCCCAATATTCGTGCTTAGCCACTAGTATGAGCCACAAATATTTCACATCAAATACCAACCGTCGAGGAGCATGGAGCTTTTTTTTAGTGACGGAGATCGGCTCTTGCTGCGACTTTTCCTGCGTCTCCTGTGTGAGCAGAACCAGGAACAACATGTATTACGTGGAGACTGAGATCCCTTGGCCACAGAATGACGTTATATTTTGACATGTTTTTGTTTCGGCTGTCCGAGATCCACTCACCGTTCCTCGCTGCGTGACCTCCCTGGTTTGTGCTGTAACTTTTAGGCGGTGTTCTTGGATCGTCTTTTCCCCTGAATCAGTCTTTCTTTCTATCCCTGTAGATACCGTTTACGTTAGAAATTACAGTTTCACATCAGGCTTGAGTTCATCTTCAAAACCATTATGTGTATTAGCGGTAACCCCACCGTTGATCTGCTCGGGTGCTTGCTTTTGTCTGAGGGGGCTGGGGGCTGCTCCCTGCTTCTGGAGTTGGCGCCGTGGTGATCTCTGGTTCTCGGTGATTCATTGTATTGTGGCGTTCTACAACAGATGAAGTCCATAGGGAGTACCACCACCTGTGTCCTATCATATGATGGTACTGAAACCATTTTTGTCATTCTTTGATGTTAGATCTGCTAAATTACCTGCCTCCTCCGTAGACCTAGGATCTAGTTATTGCTGGCCGACGCGCTTCTTTTTGCTTCCTCTTTTATTCTGCAAGAGAGTCAAAAGGGAACTAAATTCATTAGTAATAGACTTGTCCCACCTAAATTCACAGGACTTTTTTCCGAAAATGGTTATAAATAAAGAAGGAAATGTTTGTATTCATATTCTCCCGGAAACACCAATATTCTTTCATTTACTTATAACACGACTACTTGTTATTATTTCTGACTCGTAGTTTACCTTCAAAGTAGATCCACAATCTCGTTCACAGACTAGTCAATAGGCTTTGATTCGGTCAGCGCTACGTCTCAGGATAGTCTGTGTCTTGTTCTTTAACATTCACTAAAGGTATCAAAATACAAACCTAATCTATAGGGGTACATGTGAAACGTATTTTCATCTGTTGCTCTTGGCTTCCTTCTCCTTCTCCCACACACACACATCCTATTACGAACATTATACGAACACATCAACTCTCACAGTAACAAAACTAAATCCAGAGCACACAATATCTACCCAAACACACAAGCCACAACACACGTTCACACCAACACTACACCACACACCATATACACCAACATACAACTACACCTTTCAACCCATAGCACCACATCCTTGTCTTTTCCGTCGGCTTTAACGTCTTCGTCAATTACAGAAGCACGCGTGTCGGTTCCGTCGGTATTTGGACCCGTACTTTGATCACACGTAACTTCGGTTCACGTTGTACCATATCGAATTCCTCAATCTGTTGAATAGTCATCGACTTATATACCAGAACTAATCGGCTATATACGATCATTGTCAGAATATATCCAAACTATACTTTTATAACTTATGTGTCCGTTCATATTTATTCGTATCAACTGTAACTCTGGACTTGTCCTGAGAATCTTTTATGGGTTTTTTTATTTTTGTAGATTTTTCNAATGTTTACAATCCATCACTAAATTCATGGCCAACCAATTTTAACATCATGCAATAACACTAAGACGACATTAGTTGCATTGAAATGATATTTTTAATAAGTTGTACTTACAATGCAGTGAGAAACATGGGCTTGTGCTTCACTGAGGATCTTTGTCATTCTGACAGGGAGGCTAACTGCAGTTATTACACTTCGTGTTTTGAAATATGTGTAACTCTGTTCATATAAAACCCACACTGCTCAAACTTTGTTACTTTTCCGAAAATTGGTATATTTATCTTTTTTTTTCATTAACATAAAATAAATCTCAGGTACCCCCTGCAGTACTCCAACGTACCCCTAGGGGTCCGCGTACCCCCATTTGAGAACCACTGCTCTAGAAAATCCCCTTTTCTCAGATCCAATTTGTTCTCCATCAACTTGGAACTCTTGCTTACATGATCAGGAGTTCTCAATATGAACTTGCACTACCTCCGCCCGTGAAAACTCAAAAGGTAGATTTAAAAACGCTTAGTTAATGAATGTTTCCTCATAAAACAATCACTAAAAGGAGGAAGCAAGAAACACTTTATTTTCAAGGCAAAGCATTGTAACTAAAGCTCAAAGAAGAGTTTACACTAAAACCAATGATATCTTATAAAAGGGAGAAAACAGTTGTGTAACTGGACGACAGCAGCAGATACCGTTTTAAGGAAAGAAAAATTAAAGTGGAGCAATTTTAAATCAGTGTCACTGTCAGTTTAAGTGGCCGTTTTAAATACTTAAATAAATTCTTAGTATATATTACTTCAAACAGACCGAGCACAGCCAAAACAATGGCCTAGTTGAAATAAATAAATAATCCAAAGCACTGACGGTCTGTTGTCACATGGTGGAGCAGTTGACTCATCAGAGGCTCACAAACAAAGAGCTTAACCTGGCCCAATTATATGATCTTATTCTTAACTATTGCTTCTCTACGTTACGCTTTTCTCAAATCCCCAGAGCATCCCAAGAGTATTCCCCCAGGATCAATCTGCGCAGAGAGCTTTGTAAATAGATCTGAGGAGGAAGGGATGTACTTACGACTCGATGCCTAGAGGGAAATCCTGGCTCATGGCTACAGAAGCTTTGAAGTTCTTCTTGCTCTCCTTACACACCAGCTCTCTCCCAAGATGAGGTGGCCTGAAGGTGCGAAGAAACACCGAAATGCATTGCTTTTATTTCATATTAATACTCAGCATGTGAAGAGACTGTCTTCTAACTGCCCTGGTTGAATTGCAGCAGAAAGAATAGAGTCAAAAATCCCCCAACATGACGACAGGTGGAGGACTTGGTGACAGAGCAAATAGCTAAATGCATATTTGGTTCATATATTTTGGATTTAAAGGTCCTCTATTATGCTGTTTTTCATCAATATAGTATAGGTCTCAGATACAAAACATGTCTCTGAAGTGTTTGGCTCGAATAACCAAACAGATCATGCATTGCAGCATCCCATAAACCCATCTGTTTCAAAAGAGCTGATTCTCTGTCTGTTACTTAGATGAAAATAAGGAGCCCCTCCCCACGCCCCTCTGAGAGATATTTAGTTAAAAAGAACACAATGGTGCTCTAGGAGGAGATTCAGGTGATAAGGTGGGGGGGGGGTTCCCTTGGTTGGTGATTGGCTAATGGTTACACAAGCCAAAAAAACATTGTGACATCANGATAGATAGATGGATAGATGGATAGATAGAGAGATAGATAGATGGATGGATGGATAGATGGATAGATGGATGGATAGATAGATGGATAGATGAATAGATGGATAGATAGATGGATAGATGGATGGATAGATGGATAGATAGAGAGATAGATAGATAGATAGATAGATAGATGGCTAGATGGATGGATGGATATTTAGATTTAGTTTATTGACTGTAGCTAGCAAGCTAATGTTAGCTACATGATCTGTGTTATGAAGAGTGAAGCAGGGGAATACAGGAAAAAGGAAATAGAAGAAAGACCAGGCAAAACTGACCCTAACAGAAGCTAACCAATGAAACAGAGACTGCCGTTAAACTGCAGGACTTAAATCCTTACTTTTCTGAAGAGGCGATGAGGTGCAGGTGGAGGAGCTCAGGTGTGGGGAATGAGGTGATTAGGCAAGAGAAAAAGCAGAGAGCTGATTGGCTGAAACACTCAGCAGTAGGAAGGACTAACGAGGCTGATTCAGAGCAGGTGTGAGAGCAGAGGAGGAAAACACAGCTGAAAACAAACCGTAAATTAATGAATAACCTCAATTCAATTACTCACAGGTCCAATATGTTTTTTCATTCCTTCAAACAAAGAATTATACGTATTCACACACAATCAATACGTTATTTTCAAAGCCGCCTGACATTATTGACTATAACTATTAAAACTAAAACCATTAAAACCTCACTTATCATAAAACACTTCAGTCGACAAAAGAAAATCTCATCAGAAGTTTTTTTATTGGTGTGTCAGCCCGACAATCAACTACAAAATAATCCCTTTTTTCTGCAAGTAAGATTTGAAAAGAAACACAAAATAGATAAAATAAATAAAACTTGTTGATGTCTCTTTCATTGTCGCCCTTTTTATGCTATTAAAAAAGTTGGAACAAACTTTTAAATCGTGCTTTTAGACCAAAACGAAAACATAAGCACATTAACAGAGGTGATGAAAATCTTGTTAAAGGGTCGTAAATATTTCAAATGTTTCCAAGATGAGGCCAAATCTGAATTTCCCGTCTTGCTAAGCTTTAAAAAAAAATCATAAAAACCAATATATATATTTGTATTTCATTTAATGATCACTTGTGCATGTACCACACCTCTCACGTCACACACGAGAAGCGTTATTTATTCAGTAAGTAATCTCCTTCCTGTGCTTTGTTCCTCTCTGACCCAGATCAACAACGACGTTAAATGCACACACTAATTCTCCATGCTCTCATGTGTTGTTTTGTGTGCAAATAAATGCTGTAATAAATGCTCCTCAGGGTGCAGATCTGAACAGCTTGGACTGTAAAGGAAACTCTCCTCTGCTGCTGGCCACGAGCTGTGGAGCGTGGAGGACCGTCGCTCTTCTTCTGTCCACAGGTCAGACACACAACAGACTTTTAAAGGTCTCCTATCCTTCAAAATGCACTCTTCAATGTCCTTTCTACATATATATGTGTCCCCGGTGTGTCAGGAGACTCACGCAGTGTCAGAAAATAAAACCCTCTCTCTTTTCCTCCGTACCCACATCTCTAAAAACGGGGGAACAACGGAGCTGATCCAGATTTGCATCCGATATGACGTAATATCTGAAATGTGGGCTGGCTTTGGTCCCACGGCCCTATCTGAAGCAATGTGCAACGTTTTTTAATTCTCCTACTTCTGCACCTATGTTTATGTACTTCCTGAAGCCTGGCAAAATGCAGAATAAATGGCCCTAATAAAAGTTCAAAAGTGTGGAGCGTTTCTCTCCGCCATTGAGCGCCATCTTGGCTACCTATACTGAAGCTAAGGTTGCTCCAATGAAAACAGCACTATCCAAATTAAAATGTATACATATGTTTTTTTATATACTATACTTGTGCTGACAAAAAGCCACAATTTGCTACCATTAATGATATTGTTGCGAGCAAGACAGCTAACAGTGACAGTCTTCACTTCCTGTGTCTGTTTACATTGTGCTAAATGGCAGATGTCCAAATGAAGACACAGCATATGAGACAATGGGAGCCATGAATCAGTGATTCTCAAACTTTTTTCAATAATGTACCCCCTTCGAAAAAAAAATGCAGCCAAGTACCCCCTGATCAGCGCAAAAACTATTTGTTAGTGAAGAAAAGCCTTTATAAAGAGGTACACAGTGCTGCACCATCAGTGTCTGATTTATTAAAACAACAACCTTAGGTTGTTGTTTTAATAAATCAGACACTGATGGTGCAGCACTGTGTACCTCTTTATAAAGGCTTTTCTTCACTAACAAATAGTTTTTGCGCTGATCAGGNGCTCCTTATTTTCATCTAAGTAACAGACAGAGAATCAGCACTTTTGAAACAGGACTGAAACAGATGGGTTTATGGGATGCTACNAAAAAAAATGCAGCCAAGTACCCCCTGATCAGCGCAAAAACTATTTGTTAGTGAAGAAAAGCCTTTATAAAGAGGTACACAGTGCTGCACCATCAGTGTCTGATTTATTAAAACAACAACCTTGTAACTGAGAAACACTTAAATGCTACATTTCAAATGTTTAAAATCCATGGCAAACTAATTTTAACATCATGCAATAACACTAAGACGACATTAGTTGCATTGAACTGATCTTTTTAATAAGTTGTACTTACAATGCAGTGAGAAACGTGGGCTTGTGCTTCACTGAGGATCTTTGTTATTCTCAGTTACAGGAAGGCCTCTGCAGTTATTACACTTCGCGTTTTGAAATATGTGTTTTTTTCTTTTCATTAACATAAAATTAATCTCACGTACCCCCTGCAGTACTCCAACGTACCCCTAGGGGTTCGCGTACCCCCATTTGAGAACCACTGCCATAAATCACAGAACTGCAGAAGCCAAACTTTCTCTAATTGAGTGGTTTTGTGTCTCTTTGTGTTCATTGTGTGTCTTTTTTTTTTAATTGTATATATTTTTATAGTAACTGTGAGATCATTTGTTTCCCCTTGCGTCTGTTTTGTAGCCATTTTAACTTATTTTGTGTTACTTTGCAGTAATTTTAAGCATTTTCCTTGGTGTTAGGGTTTCTTCGACATCATAGCTCGACATATCAACTTCATAGTAGTTTAGCCTCTCCTTATTGATCTTCTGTTTGTCTTAATAGTCAGTTTAAGTCATTCTGGAGTCATTTAAAGTCTGTTGGTATCTGCTTTGTGTCTCTCTCACATTATTGTGTAATCGTTTGATGTTGTTTCTCTTCCTAGTTGTCTCTGAGTAAGGTGGCCCCTGACACTTTGGTTCAATAATCCATCAATAACTCTACTGTACTTTGCCCCCAGCTACTGTATATGCTCATGTTCTCTGTAAAACCCTTTTGTTAATGTCTTCAGGGGCGAACGTGAACGTGAGAGACCGATGCGGCTGCAACTTCCTCCATCTGGCCATCCTCCAGCCCAAAGGCCTGAAGAACCTCCCTGAAGAGGTCCTGCAGGTACGATCATCAAAGAGAGCTCGTTAACAGGATTTAATTACTGTAAAGCCCTTCATCAATCTGAGACTCAAGTTCATTTTACTCTCAGCAAGCCATGGGACCCTTTAAAACCCCACAAGCTTTACCCAAAGGCCTTTTGATTTGATTTGATTTATTTAAAACGTATAAAACAATAATACAAAAAATAAGTTAACGCTTTAGATTAAGGTTCACATATTCACCATCAACTATTTGTTCTTTAACATATTAGAGTCAAACTACCAGATTATTGGTTATGAACAAAACTTCACTTTAAAATAGGGAACATATTCTGAGTTACGAATACCACATTTTGAAGCAAGTGTTATTTTGACACAAATAACACTTGCAGTTTCATGTCTTGTTACCTAAGAATAGACCATATTTATTAGGTGTTATGAGAGAATGCCTTATTTGGCCATGTTGAGCATATTAAGATCATGTACAACAACGTCCTTACTTACAATAAATAAGCACTAATTAGAGGGTTATTGAGGAAAAACTCTTAACTATTGGTTTAGTACTTTTAGAATTTCAATCAGGAGAGACTTAGTTTTGTTTAAAGAACATTTATTGACACATGTCATATGATGAATGTTAAGTCTTTGGCGGTTAGACCCCGATCCTGAAATGGTATATCTAAAGGGGGAAATGCAGCCGTGAGCATATAGGGAACC